TTCTGTAATTCGTTTTTTGATCAGTGAAGAATCTTGAAGAATCATCTTCGACCTGCAGTCAGATCAAAGCGACGTGGACTTTTGACTAGAGGTGTCCTTGACATGACAATGCTCGGCCCCATACTGCCCGTGCAACAGTTGCAACAATCCAAGACTTGCACTTTGAGTGTCTTCCACATCCGCCATACTCACTAGACCTAGCCCCAAGTGATTACCACATGTTTGGGCCACTCAAAGAGGCGATGGGAGGAAAGAAGTTCCGTTCTGATGAAGAGATACAGCAGGCGGTGCATGAGTGGTTGCGCAGACAACCACAAGAATTTTTTTCTAGAGGAATCCATACACTTCGTAAACGCTGGAGGGGCCTGTATTGAACGAAATGTAGACTATGTAGAAAAATGATATAGTTGTGTACCGCTTTCACTCAATAAATTAAATTTAAAAAAAAATTTACGGTTTTCATTTGACTCACCCTCGTACATGTGGCAAACCTGATAAGCATATTTTTAAAACTTCCGTTTGTCAATAGTCTTAAAAATGGTTAGTGAAAGTAATATCATTAGAATACACCATTTCCCGTCGTTCTGGATAACAAAGATTACGAACAGTTGCTACATTACTACTGACATCATCTATTAAAATTTTGTACATATTTCTAGGACAAATTTTAGTGGAAATCCATCTGACTCCCAGGCCTGTTGGGACTAAAAGAATTAAAACTGCGTAACTTACCAGTCATTGCCACCCATGCTGTTATTGAGGAAGGCAGTGAAACGCCCGGGTTATCGAAGTATGTCAGACTAAATTCCATACCAGGCTGCAAACCACAAAGCCAGGGACATGGAAAAGGGAAATTTACAACATATTATTTACCATTAAAGTACTGGCAATAATACATCATGTGAGAAACATTACTGTGAAGCCTCATAATGTTTAATTAAATGTTATGAAAATTTATTCAAATCCAAGAAGCGTATATGCAGAGGAAAGTGACGCTGCCGAAAGCAACCCTGATAGGACTCGGATTGGTCCAGTACAGACAGCCTTTCTAAGAGACGAGCACTCCAAAATTAAGTCTCAACATGCAAATATCAGCGCTGAAATTTTCTATCAGCTGTAAATGATAACCTGTCTGTTCTCGTGTCAGGTCATCTGTTTACCGGACAAATGCAGCTTCAGATACTTTTGTAATTTCATAGTTTTTGTTGATAACTCATTTTTATATGAGAGACCAAACTTTATGGATTAAGTTTTTGTTAACTATTAAACGGACTGCACAGTCAGGCTGCCATGTTATGTTACACTGCAGATTTCTGTATTCTTAAGATTGGTGCACTTGTAAGTATATAATTATCCAACTCAGCTAAAAGCAACGTACAGTTACCACTTGGGAGATCTAGGCATAGCTGGAAAAGTAATAATAATCCGCGGCATAACACCCCTCTGAGAGCCAAAGCCGACTAGCTGGCTGCTGGCCTCACGTTCACATGCCTAAGCACAGGTGAATGATCATCCAACCAGATACAGGGTGACGTGTGGTCAGCACGACAAACCCCAGCCAGAAGAGAAACCTGATAATTTACAATTAAAAATAACTCAAAAATAATATTTTTACCGTGAGTCTTTTAACAAAATTAAGTACATTATAAAGCATTTTATAAGTCTGTCAGAAATCAAAATCATCAAAAGGCATTTTTGGAATCGAAATGACTCAAGATCAGCGAGGATCTTCTAAAAGGAGAGGTCACTTTTCCACATGAGCAACATGCCTCTGCTTCCAAAAAAGTGACAATGATACCGTGTCTCACTGCATCCAGAATGCCAAATGGGCAGCGAAATAAAAAAAACCACAAACTCATTTAAATTTCTACCACCAAAGGTAAAGAGGGACAGGGTCTGGATGAAGATGGTCATGGCCTATATGAAGGTACTACACAGGCATCTGCCTCAGAAGACTGAAGAAAACCAAAAAATCATTCATTACATGATCGCGGGTATCCTAGCCAGCACTGAAATCGGGTATGAAGATGGCCGTCTTCTGGAATGTTGCATCATGTAGTCTGGCATAAGCTGATCAATATTTCAGAGGTGCTTACTGCCTCCACCATCATCATCACTGCCCTTGGAGGCAGAAAGTACCTTTGAAATGTCAGTCAACTTTTGCCAGACTACATGATGCAACTTTCCAGAAGACGGCCATCTTCATACTCATCATAGTGAGAACCTGAAATCAGGTATAACTGATAATATTTAATGCGTAAGATCACACACCAAACAGATGTCTTATATTTATACAGAAAGTTATTTATTAGCGATGAAAGAGTCAAAACAAAAGTTACTCACCTCATCAATACTGTTGAATGCTCTGATTACCATGAAAGACCAGTAGTCCTTAACTCGATGCTTCTGAGGTTCCTCTGGAACAGTGGGATGTTCTGTGCCTTTGTTAATGACCACGATAATGTTCGTCTCTCGGTCAATCAAATAACGGCGGTTAAACACATAGTCTCTATTAGAGAACATTCGCTGGAAACAGAACATACCTGCTTAAGATATGGATTTGTAAATGCTAATTCACTTCACTCACCACTGTATATGCATATATATGTGTGTGTGGGGGGTATATGTATATATACGAGGCGCGTCCCAAAAGTAAGTTTCCCACTCGTCCCACAGCTAACAAACCTTATATTGCGTGAAGCGACTGTGCGTACGTGATACAGCAATGACGTAGCATGGCGCATGCACTAACGGCACTTCCCGCGTTCTCACAGTAGCATCGTTGCAGCTGTTGAAGATGGAGGTTCTTATTCCAGCTCCCGCCGACTGTGAAGTGCGGTCAGTGATAACGCTAGGCCGCACACGGCTCGACGGACAGCAAGTCTCCTGCAGGAGTTCAGCTGGGAGGTGTTTAATCATTCACCCTACAGCCCGGACCTCGCTCCCAGTGATTTCCATCTTTTCCTACACCTCAAGAAATTCCTGTCCGGTCAGCGTCAGCATTTTGAGAATGACAGAGAGGCGGAGATGGTGGTCACACAGTGGTTCCAATCCCAGGCGGCAGACTTCTACGACACAGGTATTCAAAAGTTGGTCCCACGGTATGACAAATGTCTCAATTCCGGTGGCGAATATGTTGAAAAATAGCTTCCAGGGATGCTTCCAGGCTTGGCAGCGGCGCTGGGATCGTTGTGTTCACTCCCAGGGGAACTACTTCGAGGGGGATGGATGAATTTAATACCTGAGATAAATGTACGGGTTTTTATACGCGCAGTCTGGAAACTTTCCGATCGCACCTCGTATGCATATATATGTGTGTGTGTGTGTGTGGTGTGTGTGTGTGTGTATATATATATATATACACACACTCGCTGTCGTGAGAACCTGAAATCTCATGCAGTCAATGCTATCAGGCATATTATCACTATATTATTTGTGCTGCATTGGAGAGCCTAGAAACGTGAGAAGAGCGGGTATTTCTCTTATTATTCTGCAATTTGTTCATTGGAATTCTGGTTTAAACATTTTGTCTTTGAATCTGACTACAGACAAACAGTTTCATTCGCAAAAAGCACATAATTCAGAAGCATTTTTGTTTCATGAAGTATGACAGTTTCTTACACAAAACATAATCAGAAGTTTACTGATTTTGAAAAGCAACAAAATAGGGCTCTGATTGCAACGAACAAATATTCCTGTATTTGATATTATGACAAAGACAATGAATAAAAAAACTCATAAAACTGACTTTTCATTACAGACCATATTTGTTGCATCAGACTGTTACTACAGATAAAAACATTCAAATTTAAAGCCTATACTATCAGTTTAACTGTCTAACATAGTTATTTGACATTTTTTCTGCAACAAGCATCATCGTTACATGATATTGGCAAATTATATTCCATACGCACTTTTATATTAAAACATATTTATCGTAAACTATGCTGGTGGTTACCATCACAGATAGGTATAAGCTCTGCACAACTACAGTCAAAAAAGTGTATCATCTTCTTCAGGTTTTACAGATCATGCTTTATGGCCTCGCAAAAAGTGTATCATTCAAATTCTATAGATAGTTTTGTCACAGTAAAACATAATAAATGAAACTATTAACTTAACGTAAGAGATGGTTATTACATAAAAACTGGAGTATCATTAATATAACATTATAACGTATATTTTATAACACTTTATTAAGTGCCAGAAAAATATGGTTTGTGTATTTATAAGTTGTAAGACTTGAGGTTCTCACAGCGGTGAGTATGAAGATTTCTGTCTTCTGGGTTGTTGCGCTGTGTAGTCTGGTCGATGTTAACCAACGTTTCATCACCCTGATGACGGAGGCAGTATGACCTCTGAAACGTTGGTTAACATCAACCAGACTACACAGCGCAACAACCCAGAAGATG